GCACAAAGGCTGTTTCTATAAAGTGGGGCAGTTCCAACTTTGCAAGGACAGTCTGGCGCTTCTGACTCACAGCCTGTAAGTACGTTTTCATATTTAAAGGATTTGCCACTGATGATTCAAATGCGAGTTTTGAGCAGTGTAGAGTAGCGCTTGTTGTTTGTCGTTTCTCCGATCACAAATGCAGACATGGTTTTATGGTTTACACGGCGCAATACGCAACGCAGCACGTAAAACGACTGTATAAGTCATTATAATCAGTAATTATGTCCCCACTGGATGCAACAAATGCCTCGTTTGTAATCGGTTTTATTGGTGTTGACTCATCACGCCGGTACATGGCATCACAATATGGTAGGGGCGTAACATTTCCGTCACACGCTTGAGGTATTCGGCCAATCACAACGTACTGGATAGCTGGCCAATCAGAGCACACCTCGCTTTTCAGAACGATGAGCTTTGTAAAAGTCAGTGCGTTTCAGAAAGGCGGGGCATAGAGGAGAAATAATAATGTACATTATGTGGAAAATAGTATTTTGTTTTTTTTTTACCATAAACCACATAAACACATTGCATTACACCAAATACACAACATAATGTTCTTTTTAGCAACGTCATATGACCCCTTTAAAAAAAGACAAAATTTGAAAGCTGAGACTTTGTTTCATACCTGTTCTGTCTTGTCTGTCGACGCGTTGTCCGTGTCCTCTGCTCCACAATGTATTTTTCACTGTGTGAGAACATAATGTGTGGCGTGGCTTGTTGGACGTAGCAACGGTAACTAAGGGGGGCGGGTCTTTGTGAAGGGTCAATTATGAGATCACTGCAAAATGTAACTAGTAGTCAATAAGGATTTTTATTTTTTTACAAGGATTTTTTATTTAAATATCCTGATGAGCAGGATATTTGTCAATTTTGTTTATCAAAAGTAAAAGATAAATGCCACTTCGAAATTCACATTCTTCATAACTGGAAACCTTAGTGAAACTTGAATAACTGGTTTTTGCTCTTGTGACTGAAGGGGAAATGTGCATATAAAACACATGCATGGGTGTACAAATGATGAAACATGAGTCTGTTTTTATTGTATCAGCAATCTGCACTGTGTGTGTTCTTACAAAACATCCCCTTGGGATGTCCTCACTGTATAATGATTCATACATAAACTGTTTTTTATCCTTAAAATGCAATAAAAATGTTTTTCTTATATTGTTGTAGTAATTATAACTAACTTTTATATTAGTGATGCACCAAAAGGAATTTTTCATGAATTCATAGAGTTTTCATTTCACCGAGAACCTA